GACGTTGCTTCTGTTTTGTGTTTTGGTCTATTTTGGTCCAAGGCATGTGGGATTTTAGCTCTCTGACCAGGGATCAAATGGCACTCCCTGCATTGGAAAGTGAAGTCTTAACCACTGGAACTCCAGTGAAGTTCCTAGTTAATTCTTTTCTTAAATTTAATTTTTAATTTCAGGACAATTAGTTTACAATATTGTGATGGTTTCTGCCACACCTCAAGATGAATCAACCATGGTACACATATGTTCCCTCCCTTTTAAGCCTCCCTCCCACCTCTCTCCCCATCCCACCTTTCTAGGTTGTCACAGAGCACCAGCCTTGGGTTTCCTGCGTCATACAGCAAATTCCCACCATATCTACTTCATATATGGTAATCTATACCTTCTCCCTCCACCGCTGTTTCCAAAAGTCTGTTCTGTTTCCGTTGCTGCCCTGTAGGTAGATTCCTCAGTACCATCTTTCTAGATTCCATATATATGCGCCAATATATACTATTTGTCTTTCTCTTTCTGACTTACTTCACTCTGTATAATAGGCTCTAGGTTCATTCCTCTCATTAGAACCAACTGAAAGGCATTCCTTTTTATAGCTGTGTAGTATCTCATTGTGTATATGTACAACAACTTCTTCACCCATTCATCTGTCGATGGACGTCTGGGTTGCTTCCAAGTCCTGACTATCATAAATAATGCTGCAATGAACACTGGAGTACATGTGTCTTTTCAATTATGGTCTCCTCAGGGTATATGCCCAGTAGTGGAATCTCGTAGTTTTATTCCTAGTTTCTTCTTTATTCATTTTTTATAATACTCCTAATTTTTAAAGGAATCTCCAAACTGTTCTGCATAATGGCTGTATCAATTTGCATCCCCACCAACAGTGCAAGAGGGTTCCCTTTCCTCCATATCCTCTCCAGGATTTATTGTTTGCACACTTTTTGATGATGTCCATTCTGATCAGTGTGAGATGATACCTCACTCTAGTTTTGATTTGCATTTCTTTAGTAATGAGCGACATTGAGCATCTTTTCATGTGTTGATTAGCCATCTGTATGTCTTCTTTGGAGAAATATCTGTTTAAGACTTCTGCCCACTTTTTGATTGGGTTGTTTGCTTTTCTAGTACTGAGCTTCATGAGCTGCTTATATATTTTGGAGACAGTTTGGAAACAGTCCTTTGACAGTTTTCTCATTTGCTATTATTTTCTCTCATTCTGAGGGTTTTCTTTACACCTTGCTTATTGTTTCCTCAAGTTAATTAAGCATTCTAAACTTTTTCTTTATTTTATATTGGAGTACCATTGATTAATAATGTTTTGTCCAGGTGAACAACAAAAGTTATATATATATATGAAATTTGCTTTAAAAATGGGTCTCTTTTGCAAGGTAATAGGTTTTAAAAATGAAAATTAAAGGAGTAATAAAGTAGTTGATACAGAATGTTGAGCAGAGTTCCCTATGCCATACACTTGCTCCTTAGTTTTAACAACCCATGTGAAAGGGCATCCTATCCTATAATCTAGGACATCTGCCCCAAAGACCCCTGTTCAGTCTAAACATCCTTTTTCTAGATCTTGGAAGAACCTCAAGCATTTGTCTGCCTTAAATTATTCATTTTTCTCCAAAAATGCCACAAACTCAACTGGGACAAGGATGAAATCTTCTCTCGCCTAGCTTTTGAGTATGTTGTGCGTGCGTGCTAAGCCGCTTCAGTCATGTCCGACTCTGTGCGACCCTATGGATTATAGCGCCCCAGGCTCCTCTGTCCATAGGAGTCTCCAGGCAAGAATACTGGGGTGGGTAGCCATGACCTCCTCCAGGGGATCTTCCCGACCCAGGGATTGAAGCTGTGCCTCTTATGTCTCCTGCATTGGCAGGTGGGTTCTTAACCACTAGCACCACCTGGGCAGCCCTGGACTATGTCACTACTCTTTATTAAATAAATGATAAATAGGATAAAGAAAGAATGGCAAAAGACACTTTTATCTTGAACACTGTTGACAATTTCAACGTAAACCTGCAAGCTGCTCATTTCTGCGTTCAAAGAGAGGGGTTGGAATAAAAGCACATATTCTTTCAACCAATTCTCTGCTTTCAGCCCTCAGTTTGAAAGGCCCCATTGGCACTTTCCAGTGAGGCCAACAATGTGGCCCTCCTCATACATTTGAGACCTTGTGAGACGACGCGATAAAACACAGCAATTCAGGGGAGAAGGTAACGAATGCTTTTCACCTCTCTGTTTACCTTGGCTAAGCCAACAACCCTTACCTCTCAGCACGTCACCTCCCATGCTGACTGTATTTCCAAAAGTGAAACATGAAGAATCCAAACTTCTGCAGCCTGAGAAATGTGTCTATAGATCAGCGACTTTAAATCAAGATCCTGAGGAACTTCTGGGATAACTTAATAATTCAAGCCACTTAAAATTCCTTGGTGGGGGGGGGGGGGACTTCCCTGGTAGTCCAGTGGTTAAGACTCTATCCTCCCAATACAAGGGGAGCCCGGGTTCAATCCACAGTTGGGGAACCAGATCCTACCTGCTGCATCTGAGATCCCACATGTGGCAACACAGATCCTGTGAGCCACAACTAAGTCCTGGAGCAGCCAATTTTTTTTTTTCCAATCCCTTGGGTCACGTGAACATGCACGCACACACACACGCACCACAAAACTGGAAGCTCATTAATACCTGGGGAGCTCATTCAGTTTCCACCCAAATAATGAACACAGAGGATTTTTAATTTGTCTTTGTAAGGATGTGACTGTGACAAGTCACCTACCCACCCTCAGTTTCTTCATCTACAAAATCAAAACCATGATGGGCCAGCATGGCTCCCCAACAAGGGGTGGAAGCGATGATTACAGGAAATAATACCAAAGGAGTAAAACTCTGAAATATAAAAGAGCTTCCCTCTTCCATGCAGGTGCAGATGGCTGTCCCAGCACTGTCTTTCATTTGGGGCCACTGGGCATCCAGCCTTCCGCAGTCCCAGAAGAGAGACAGTGCATTTAAATTGCAGACACCAAAAGAGAAAATTGGGTCCCTGATTTTAAGTTTCAAAACAGACTTTTGCATGTAATGAGAAAGACCAAAATTTGATAGCAAACATTTTGGAGTTTCAAAAGTCTAGGAATTCCAGCCTGAATAGTAGCTTTAGAAGATTACAGTGTAATCTAATCTTCCCCCTCTTCAAACTAGAAACTACCTAATGTTTGACTGGAACAGGGCAATTTGAGAGAGAGTTGAAAGGAAGAAAGATGGCACATCCCGTGTAAGAGGCTCCATGCTCTTCCCCACCTGCAAACTCAGCCGGGTGACCCTACTTACAGAGACAACAAGTCTCTGCTGATGACCCGGAAGAATCTCTGTGCAGACTGCCCCTGTATCTGCTCATCCTGGGTCAGGCTGGGGGACACAGCACGTCCTCAGCGTTTCCCAGGCACTGACTGGTGTCCTAGAAAGAGGAACTTAAAGTCTTCATGGAGCCAGACACGGAAGGAAGCCCTGGGCTAAGAGCTGAGAGGTTAAGACTAAGGCTCCTATAAGGAGACATACAATTCAAATGATGATGATGCGGGCAGATAATAACCAAGGATTAAACAATTCCATCTCCCAACCTCCACCCTCACCTCTAATACTGTGACTTTCTGCAAGCCCAAGAACTTGGCTTCAACCTCACAGAAGAGTAAGGAGAGATTCTGGACTCTATGGCTGCTATTTATAAACTGGAGATTAGAATAGAAATGGAGTTCAACTTCAGAAAAAGAGCTACATTCCTTGTGAACCTGGGTTGGTGAACTATGTCACCATGAGTTAAGGGCCTCGCACAGTATCTGATCTGGAGCAGGTGTAAGCTAAGTAGCAGTCTCCTCCCCAGGATGTTGAATTGACCCTGACCTTCCTGTGAAGCTCTACAGTTTAGCTATCTGTGGTGACAATGACAAAGGATTTAATCATAGAATTTTTGCCCAGTGGGGAAATTGCTGGGCTGCCTCCCTCAATATAGAATTTGGCACTGAAACCACGGCAGGTTTAGAGACACCCCAGGGACACAGCAAAGGAGCAGCAGAAATCAGGCTGGGACAGGTCTCTGATTCATGACAGAGCCCCTTCCACTTTCCATGAGGCTTCCCAAAGAGTAAAGCTGAAAAGGCCTTTGCAGGAGATCATCAATGATTTAAGTGGCTGAAGATAGAAGGTCAAGAGGCAGTTAATTAGTATAAAGAGCCAATTAAGAGGACATTGTCTCAAGGGGAATCCTTTACTCTCTCGAGTCTAGGAATGAAAGGCAGTGATATAGTAACTTACTCTAATAACCCCTCAGCTCCCCTTAGGCCCATCCCCTGAAAATTAGCTTTATCTCCTTCCTCTGTCAAACATCTCCACTGGCTTCCCAATGTCTGGAGACTAAAGTCCATCCCTTTGGCATAGCACACAAGGCCTTCCTTGATCTGGCTTAAAGGTACTTTCTGAGCCTCATCTCTCACCCCAGCCTTCGAGGCAACCTCCTCTACATCCCTTTGACATTTCTTGAGCCATACATCACATTGCATTTTACAAACATTATTTCTTAGGTAGTTCTTCAAAGTGTCCTTATGCACAGATATTGTGTAACCTTCACTAGGCTCAGTTAGTCATAGTTGGTTTGCCTCTTACTTTACAACATGCCCATCATAAATGCATCCCAAAGCAATGTAGAGCCAAACACATGGTCATCACTATCTTTTACTAAATCTCAAAATTACACACTCTATCACCATTAATAACAAGATATGTCACTGAGTGAGTGATCAGTCTTTGCCAGGAGTTCTCCCAAATATTTCACATTCATGGACTATCTGACCCTTACAATGACCTTGGAGGTGGGGGAGATTAACCTAATATTAAGCTGAAACTTTGGGCAAGTAACTTGACCAAAGCTCAAATGGAGTTAATGAAAAATGGAACTGGATCCTAAAGCACATACTTTTAGGCACTGTATTTCAGTGCCTATAACCACTTACCTGGAAGCATTGAGTATAACTGGAAGATTAAGGATCACTCTGAGTAGGCTCCACATAAATGAGATGTGGCTGTGAAGGGAGCCAAGAGAGAGCCCACCCCTGTATCCATAAAACTGTTGAGAGGGAAGGCAGGTGTTCTCCTAACAGTGGCCATATTAGAATGTCCATTGTTCAGAAGGACTCCACTCATTGGCTTAATTGAGCATTCCATTTGGAATGGCTCTGGTGCAATGGAGATGAAAGGGGAAGCTAAGCCTTCTTCATTCTCTTTAGAGCATCAGAACATAGGATTAGCATCCTCCAGGCTTGGCTTTCCATCCTGGTTTCACCTCTTTGAATAAGAAACTTATGTGAACCCTGAGCTTTCACATGAGCTTTGGTGAACAAACGGTCTGGTAGGCACTGTCCTTGGTGCTGAAGCCATACAAAGAAAGGAGGCTTAGTTCATGGCATCCAAGAGTTTAAAGGAACTGGAGAATTTTAGTACGATTTGGTAAGCACAGCACAAAAGGAACACATGCCTTGAACTATACATCAAAACACTGCACCAAATGACTACTAATCAAATGTAAAGGTGCTTAACTTCACTTACAATCTTACAAACATGAATTAAAAATTGTAATATGATATTAGTTTACACTGACCAGATGGCCAAAATGAAAAAGGCGGATGATGCCAAGTGTAAGAGAATGTGAAAATGTCAATCACCCAGTCGTGCCTGACTCTTTGTGACCCCATGGACTATAGCCCACCAGGCTCCTCTGTCCATGGAATTTCCCAGGCAAGAATACTGGAATGGGTTGCCATTCCCTTCTCCAGGGGATCTTCCCAGCCGAAGGATCCAACCTGGGTCTCCGGTATTGCAGGCAGACTCTTTATCATCTGAGCCACCAGGAAAGCCCAATAATCAAATGTAAAGAGGCTTAACTTCATTTACAATCTTACAAACACAAATTAAAAATTGCAATATGATATTAGTTCACACTGACCAGATGGCCAAAATGAAAAAGGCAGATGATGCCAAGTGTAAGAGGATGTGAAATAAATGAAATTTCTTTGTTCAGATGGGGTTAGTGTAAATTGATATGACCACTTCGAAAAACTATGTAGCAGTATTTACAAAAACTAAATGTGCACATACCCTATAATATAGCTATGCCAGTCTTAGCAATGTATTTAACAGAAATGCACACAAATGTACATTAAAAGGCATGGATATGAATATTATCATTACCTATACTACTTCAATACTGGAAATTATACAAATCTTAGTAGAATGAGTAAATTAAATGAGGTATATTTATACTTCAGACACTAAATGGTAAAATACTACTATAAGCAGGAATATAGATGAATTACATAGTCATGTTCGAACAAAAGAAGCCAAATGCAAAAGAATGTATGATCCTATTTCTATAAAGTTCAAAATAGTCAAAACTAATAACCTATGGTGTCAGAAGTCAGGACAGTATGTTCTTAGCAGTGGTTTTCAGTACCCAAAGGGAATATGGCAGAGTGTATATGATGCCTGTTTGTCTGATATAGATGCTGGTTAAGCTGAATTTCTGAGTTTTGGAAAATCCATTGAGATTATACAAATATGCATTATTTCAATCATTATTTTTACATTTTCTTCCACAATATTAATATATTGCAGTATGACTTTTAACTTGATTTTTTCAAAAGGCTCATGTTTTATCCTGAAACAAAAATACACATTCATGTCCACTGAATTAGTGATGTTTTCTAACCATCTCATCCTTTGTCACCCCCTTCTCCTTTTGCCTTCAATCTTTCCTAGCATCAGGGTCTTCTCCAGTGAGTCAGTTCTTTTTGCATCAGATAGCCAAAGTATTGAACCTTCAGCTTCAGCATCAGTCCTTCCAATGAATATTCAGGATTGATTTCCTTTAGGATTAATTGATTTGCTCTCCTTGCAATCCAAGGGACTCTCAAGAGTCTTCTCCAGCACCACAATTCCAAAGCATCAATTCTTTGGCACTCAGTCTTCTTTATGGTCCAACTGCCGATTCAATAACAAATAGCTAATGAGTTCATGGCTTCCCTTGTTGGCTGAAACAGTAAAGAATCTGCCTGCAATGCTGGAGACCTGAGTTCAATCCCTGGGTCAGTAAGATGCCCTGGAGAAGGGCGTGGCAACCCACTCCAGTATTCTTGCCTAGAGAATCCCATGGATTGAGAAGTCTGGTGGGCTACAGTACATGAGGTTGCAAAGAGTCGGACACAACTAAGTGACTAACACTTGCACACTTTCACTTTCAAAGAGGTTATACCTTCCTCTTACATTGTCAATATTTTTACATTTACTTTTGTTCCTATTACAGATGGAGACTTCTATTCATCCTTCAAAACCTAATATAAATACCTCATTCCCTCAGAAGTCTTCCCTGATCTCACACTCCCTTAATTCCATTCCACAAACTGCCCCGGGTGCCTACTGCATAGATGTCACCAGCCCAGCTACTAAGGATGCCATGGTGAGTAAAATGTCCTGTCCTTCCAGTGCCTACATTGTTGAAGCAGGACTCATGTGCATCACTCTCAAATGTAATTCCCAGCTGTTGTAAATGCTATGAATGAACAATGCACAGAGCTTTAAAACAGGGAGCACTGGGGCCAGTCTTGGAGGTCAGGGAAGACTTCGTCAGGCAGAGTTAATTAACCTGGTACCATCTGGACCTCCTGTGTTTGCACTCTCTCCACTGAACTGTAATTCATTTTCTATCTGTCTCTACTATCGTCTATGAGCAACAAGAGGTCTGGACTATGCCTTATTCATGCCTTGATGTCATGTCCCAGGAAACTTGGGTGGCCTCTTATAGGCAGTCAATAGATCTCTCCTGAATTGACTTGTATGATCATCACCATTATTCCTGCTCTCCTTGTGGCTGCCACCATTACTGGAGAAAAATGTAGGAAGCATCTAAGTGAGCACAGACCCTGTGTGATGAACTCTATATTAACCATAACTTCTTGGCAGCTAAAGGAAGAAAACAGCCATTTGCTGATGATAAAGGAGAAGAGCAAGCTGAGGAATGTGACTACTTCTCCAGAATGTTCATTTGTTTTCAGCACCTCCTCTCGAGTTCCCCTGTAGCACTGGAACAAACTTGCACGGGGGCAGCTTTCTGTGGATGACTATGGGCAAATCCCATATCATGATTGTGTTTTGCAAAAAGCCTGGTTAAAATCCCTGCTTACAAGGAGGACAGCAGACACAGAGGTGGCATCCGGCCCAGAGCAGATATCAAAGAAACTGTCCTGACGTGAAACAAAATCTGCTCTTAAGTACTTTAAATATTAGAGCTGCATTTATTTTTTTATACCTGAAAGGCCCCTTTCAGAAATCCTCCCCCATCATAAAAGGACAAAGGCACTGACTGAGACCTGGGAAGATCAATTCCAGGACACGAGCAAGCAAAGGGCAGAACCGTGTCTTGGGTCCCAGCTTTGAGGATTTTATATGCAAGAATCCCCCCACTGTGCCTGGTTATTTTAATATTTTTCCTTGTACTTTCTGAAATATTCTGTGCATCTTTTTTAAAAATGGTGGTGAAATCATTTAACATGAGATCTACCATCTTAACAAAATTTTAAGTGTACAATACAGTACTGTGAACTATAGCTAAATTTATACAGCTGGTATCTAGAACTTATTTAATCTTGTATAACTGAAACTTTATATCCATTGCACCCAAAATATGAAATTCTAGCTGAGAGAGTACTTTCTAGAGAGGAAAGTTTACAGAGGTGGCAAAGTCAGTATTGTCACTGTTTCATTTAATCCTTTCAACATCTTTGCAGCCCCACCCTCCCCAGGCCAACTTTCATATGCACCTGACTTGGCTACTGTGGTTTCTAATTCCATCTGTGCTGATGTGAGCAGCCACTACTTACTGAACACCCACGAGCCACACACACCCAGACACTTGGCATACACCACTTCTCATCCTAGAATGGACACTGAAAGGACATTCACATGTGCCTTGGATATCCTCTGGTGCATAACAAGATAACCCTGTAACTCACTGACTTAAACAACAATGTTATTGTCGGCTCCCAATTCCATGGATCAGAAATTTGATTAGATCTCAGCTTCCTGACCCTACCTCCAGCCTGGGGGCTCTGGATCGTGGCTGGGATGTGCAAAATGGCACCTGGTCTGTCCATCCTGAGGGGCAGTCAGAGTTCATGCTGGTGATGGTCTCCATGAGGGAACATTCTGGAAGGTTATAGTAGAAGCTACAGACCTCTTAAAGGCCCAGGCTTGGAAGATGACAGACAGCACTTCAGCCACAGCCTACTTGTCAAGCCAGGTGAGAGGACTGACCCAGGTATAAACGGAGGAGAAGGAATTTCAGTCTCCATGGGGACGGGCGGGGCCACCTTGCCAAGGGAGGGATATGTCACTACAGGCATCCTTGGGCATGAAATCTACCAGAATATAACAGTTGGGGCCATGTTCCTTGGAGTCCGACATGTCAGCTCTGCCATTGCTGTGTGTCTATGAACACGTTATTTCTCCTTCTGAGCCTCGGGTTTTGTTTTTTTTTTTTTTTTTTTTTCACTTCTAAAATGGGAATAACAGCAGCCATCTCATAAGGTTCCCTAAGGGAATAGATAAAATAACAAATGAAATGAGCTTAACACTCAAAAGATTTCCTAAGGGAGCAGACAAAGTAATACAAGAAATGAGCTTAACACTAGCCCCATGCACAGCAAGACTCAATAAACAGTTACTAACGTTAAAGGGACCATGCAATTTATCATCCAATTTGGGGTAGTTTTGAGAAAGGGGGAGGGGGCTGCTTTGTGTAATCACATGGTGACAACAGGTATCCACTGAGGTTTATATTCACCTCCAGCTACTATTATCACTCACCTTCCAGAAAGGAGGAAATCAAACTGAAACTCAAAGAGATGAATAAGCTGGCCCAAGTCCATGTGCTTGCCTGCACGCTCCCTCACGCACTCATGGAACTCCCCTTCTGTGCCGGGTGTCGAACAAGAGAATACACATCCCTGTCACCACAGAACTTACCTTCCAGCGAGAGAGACGGAATTACCAAACAAGTAAATAATCCGTTTGCAGTAATACTGGCAGCTAAGGAAATGAG